ATCCACTAGGCATACAAAGCTGAAATCGAAGGCCACGGTTGAAAAATAGAACCGAGAGGAAGCTTGCAATTGAAGAGGATATACAGCCAAATCATTCCAATTCAACATACCACAATCAATAAACTAATAGCCACGGTTGAAAAAAAATTCATATCACTTCCGGATGACAGACCGAAAATAGAGGAGGGACCGAATCAGAACCACCGAACCAGAATCATAAGCAAGAAGCTGATAGATCAATGAATGGAGGAAATACGAACAGAATTTTGGGCAATCACCAAAGAGAGCTCACCGGCCGAACTGAAGAACGAAGATTGGAGACAGAGGATGGATGGATCGGAGCTTCCTTTGGTTTTGGCGAGCCGAGAAACGCACGACCACCCCTGTTTTCGCGAGGCCAGGACGATCTCACCGGTGTCGAGTTTCAGAGCAGCGACGGCGAACACTCGAGCTGGCGATGAAGCACGGCCGAAGACGCGACCCGATGATGAAGCGGCGAAGAGACGAGCTGATGATAAGGGCCGAAGGGTCGAGCTTCGAGCTGAGTCCGATCGTTCGGCGAAGAGGAGGAGTGTCGGCCAGCGAAGAAGAGAGGGATCTGGGAAATTGCCTACCGGAGTCGTTGCTGAGGGTCGACCTTGAGCTGAGAGCAATGGTCGAGCTGTCGAGCTGAGGAGCTGGTCGAGCTGAGGAGCAAGCACAGTGTGTCGAGCTGAGGAGCTGGTCGAGCTGAGGAGCTGGTCGGTGTGTCGAGCGGAGGAGCTGGTCGAGCTGAAGAGAAGAGTGTCGGCCAGCGAAGAGAAGAGAAGGATGATTCAAAGTGTCGGCCAGCGAAGAGGAGGTCTGGGGTGTTTTTGGAATCACCAGTAGGCGTGCCCGATTTTTTCCCACAAGTGATAATTTCCAGCTTCTGGTGAAACCATGGTTTCACCGGGTGAAACCATGGTTTCACCTGAAACCATGGTTTCACCTGAAACCATGGTTTACAATTTTTTGGGGCCTGTTTGGGTAGCATTTTCCCCAAACCATGGTTTGGGCCCCCAAACCATGGTTTGGGGTGCTACCCAAACAGGCCCTAAACTTATAAAAAGAATAGATACTAATTAAGCCTTTTGGGGTTTGGGTTAAAATAATCAATGATGGATGTGATAATTACATTGTTATAGACAGCTAAAAGATGAAAGATGACACTGTTAGTTCACATTGTTTGTGAATAAGCTTTAAGGAGCCAAATTGATTAAAGCAACTTTAATTAATTTGCACGCTGTTAAGTGTTAACTCTTTAAGGGTCGAAATAAATTAATCAAATAGTTGAATTTGACAGCAACATCAAAGCTTTTGTGATATTTTCTCGTTGATTTTACAATCCCAATCACATCATGCATTCGTATTTTTTGCTTTAGTGGTAACAGATATCATTAAACTTCCCACTTTTCAGACCCATTTTTGAGATCCATATATGTATACACACACAAATTATAATATTCCAATCACATCGACGTTTTGCTGGTCAAAAAAAAAAAATCACGTCGACGTTTTCTTGTAATGATTTTTATAAGTACAACATAAAGTCGCCGTTAAATTTAACTTTTAATTAACAATTTCCCTTCTCCATCTGTCCATTAATTTCTTCATAGGTTTCATGCAATTTTATTTATTCATTTATTTATTAATCTCACACCGATCATCTATAGGGATGGGCATTTTCTGAGTCGGATTGTAAATGATGAGATCAAACGTTTATTTAAGAACATATTATTTTTTATAAATTTATTCCCTTTTCATTTAACGAGTGTTAAGTAAAAACTTTGTAATAAAATCTATCATGTATGAAATTCTGAGTTTCGTTCTTATTGTTAAAAAATTATTATTAGTCTTATATTGAACTTTGTTGGCATGACTAATAATTTATCATCTTAATACTCTCAATATGTAAAATATCCTGCAATAGACATTATATAAATATAGCCACGGAGATAAAATCAATTTTCGTATATAAAAAATAGTAAAAAGTATAATATATAGTAAGGTCTGAATAAAACATCTTCCGGCAAAAAAAAAAAAAAGATCAAACTTTAAAGTGAATTCACTTCAGTTTGTATGGGCAGAAACTTTAAGCATGTTAATTATAATATAAACTAAGACTAATTTCCTCTGCAGTTTAAACTTTCAAGAATCAGTTTAGCAGAATTAATTAAAGTGAAGCAGTGATTAATTAACAATGGTGGGGTCCAAGCTTTTCACTAATAAACATTTGCACGTCATCTGTGCGCCACATGAGGAAGCCTAAAGACTATGAGATTATGGTTAATTAAGTTTACTTAGGAAAGTCATATGATCACCTTAATTATTATTTAGTTGAAAAGTTAATTAGTGTGAGTTATGTCAATCCATATATCGTGTTGTTTCACTGATGTTTGGTTCAAAATTTTCCAACATGAAGCAAATCTTGCTTTATATATCCATCATATAATTATTGTCTTTTGGCCAAATAGCTTTGGAATCTTTCTTAATTTTCTTTTTTTGAGTCACTATAAGATAGATATCACTAGATATTGTTCCTTTGATTCTCTGGCTGTCCTTCTCGGATAGACCTCGCGTAGTCTTTGCTCTCTTTGAAATTATGATCACTGTTTTTTTCACTAAAAATATTATTATTAGTATTTTTGGGTATTCTAATAGGGAAATTAAAACACTTATGGGAAGTTTAGAACAATTCATTAGTTCGCAAAAATGGTCCTTATTTATTCCTTTTTTTTTTAGTGGTATGGACTCATTGGACGGTTCTAGAAAATCAATCAAATGCTTTTTAATATTTCATGGCCCCAAAAAAATATTTTTAAATACTTAAAAAAATTCACATATCCTTATTTAACAATAAACAAGTATACAAATTATAAAAGCTTAAGTATCTAAGTATTTTCCATTAATTTTTTTTTCTTAATCTCCTAATTCAAGCCAATTTTTTTAATGGCGCAATATCATTTATATTTCTTAATTTTAGTCGTGTTTGAATTTGGCTATTAATTTTTTAAAATTACCCAAATTAATTTCTTTGACTTCTTTTTTCCCCCCCTATATTTCTCCATCGATTTCAGCTTTAAAAAATTGATATTCCTTGTAAAGGATAAAACTTGAGTTTAAAGTTAAAGAATCAAATTAAAATTAATACTAAATGTAAAGAGTCAGAAATAGAACCTGAAGTAAAAAAAAAATCAAATGAAAACCAAATGAAGTAAGGAAAGTAAAATTTAAAATGAAGTTGAACCTAAAATTTTAGCTAACTAAGAATTAGAGAAATAAAATGGAACATGAAGTAAATTTAAAGAACATCATATACTTGTGTTGGTTTTTAAAATATGGAAAGACATGAAGATGAAAACTTTTACATAAGTTTTATTAAGTATTTCAAATGATAAAGCCATGGTTAGAGTTCACATGACATTCAAGTCGCGCATCTTTTAAAAAAAAAAATACAAAAAGCTCTTTTTGTGGCCTAGTCTGTAAACTAGTCTTGTTGACAATTTGGGCCCGCAGCCTAACAAATGCAACAAAGCAACAATTTCAAGAAAATAATATTTTTCTGATTCTATTTATAAGGTAGAAAGAGAAAGTTTTTTTTTGTCTTATTTATAAGTCATTTTATTAAATTTTTAGTATGAATGTACTATTTTATCTTTTATTTATTATAGTGCAGGTAGTTACATCTTTTGTTAAATATGAGTAAAGTTAAAAATTTGTTATATTTTAACGAAGAATTAATGCATTTTAAGATTTTTTTTTTAAGTTTATGTAAAATATGCTGAAAATGCCTAACAAATAGAAGTAGAGGAGTAAGTAACAAGAAAATGCAATGTCGCAATAAGCCAATAACCAACATCTCATTAATTGAATATAAATCCTTGATTTGATGGCCTCAAGGAATATTGATGTAGATTTTACTAGACATACTCACTCATATTTTATTTGCTAAAATATATATTTAATTATTTCTTTTTACACAAAGTTTTGCTTTGGTTTTTTAATTTTACAAAACATATTTTAGTCATTTAATTCTAAAATTATTAACAAAAAATGATGATATTAAAATTTTAGGTATTCTCAACTATTAACATATTAATTTTAATTTTCAAAATAATTATGATTGTCATTTAAAACTAACAATATTAGAGTTTAAGAAATAAAAATATATTTTTAAAATTAAAAAAATAAAAATAATTTAATATAAATATGAAGAATTAAATGTACACTTTACAGCGAATTTTATTTTACATCAATCTTAAATCATAATCCTCAAAAGGGAACACTTGATCATAACCATTAAAATATGTTGGCCGCAATAGAAACTGTTAAAAAATTATATACACAAAACCTATGACTTGTGACAACTAACAGCATGCCCAAGAACCTTCAGCAGAGTAAAGGAATATTTTGCTTGATACCTCATTTTTGTCTATATCAATATTAGATAACTAATTTAAAAACATCAAATTAATTAATTAAATTATTTATTTAAAATAACTGTGTGTTGAGTTTTTTAAATTATGCGCATTAAAACCATGTCTTGTAAAGAACTTCTTACAATCAATATGAATATTACTTTTAATTTTTAATATAAGATCTGATTAAAAAATTAGATTTGATGTTAAATATAAAACCTTAATCTACCTAGCTTATTATTTTTTTCAAAATACTCCTATTGCTTGTACGAGATTTTCCCCTATTGATTGTAAAAAAATTTTACAAAAAAATAATTTAAATCATCTAATGCACATGATTAAAAAAAAAGTTTAGAATAACCAATATACATAACTAACTTAACCAATTTTCTTAATGTTTCTAAATTAATTATACAACTCTTATATTAAAAATGGGAAGTATTTTGAAATAAAAATTATAAATTTGGACCTAACTAACTCTTAGATATGGTGACTTCACCTGGTTTTGTTGTTTTGTTCTTCTTCATACACAACATACAGATAAATACAAATCACAGAATGAGTGCACGGCTACACGCTCGTCAATAGCTTTAAGGCTGTGGTGTACAGTCAAACAGAATAAATCTTGGTATACCATTGTTAATTACTGTACTTATTAGCATACATCTAGATAGCTATACCTAAAATATAATCCATAGAGCGTATAAATAGATGTTTGAGCACAGACCTAGCAATGCCCCAGACTACGTTAGCAAGAGTTGGGTGAAAAATAACTACTTGGCCGGAAAGGAACACATTTTATTTTAGCGATTCTATCAAGCTATCTATGAAAGGGGAAAAATTAATATCATATAACTGTAAACAAGAAAAAACAAAGATATCGATGATTGGAACCAAAAAGCATTTTCCCACTCCAAGTCAAATCATATCTAGCTGGCTCCTTTTGCCAATGGGAGAGGAACTTCGGAATTGCTGGTTTGTTGCAGCGCTAAGCAAGGCTTTTCGCCTGTTGGAGCCACTGTCCATATATTCTTGCAGAGGTGGAAGACAAGTTTCATCTCCGTCTTTAGATACTTTTCCTCGAATAATCTGTCACAGTCACCAAGCAACGTTTTCAAATGAACATGCCATATAGATCACTTTATGAGTTGGAGTAAACTATGTTATCTTCCTTCTATCTTTTTTCTAAATAAGACAATAAATGCCGTTAATTTTATTTTTAGGACTGACTACTGTGCAAAAAAGTTTATCAGCAAAAAACATGGTAGGTTTCTACAGTATAAGACCAAGCATTCAATTCATTCAGATTAGATTTGATGTCTTATTTAAACGTGGGAAAGTTACTGCAATAAGATTAATAAATAAGGCAGTCAACTGTTATTTTTTGTTTATAGAAGGCATTGTAATTGGGGGTGGACCAAAATAGGGCATGTGAATGTCCCCCAACAAATTTTGACAGGCAAATAAGTATATTTGAGTTGCTTCTGCTAGAAAAAGTACAAACAAATTTTCAATTTTATTCATAAATTACAGAATTTCTCACATGGGAAATATTATTTACCTTTGATGCCCAGGACCTTTCAGCTTGCAGACAAACATCTCTAATGTCTCTTCCAGACATACTAGAAAGGTGAGAATCAGCCAAAGGTAAGAATAGAAGCGCAAATATAACATATAAAGGAAGGTTTCGATGATTATAATATGTTGCGGCAAGGATTAAAGTATCAAACGTACCCTTCTGTCACTCTTGCAAGCTCATCTAACTCTGGTTCTGTAAGGTGCTTGGCATATTTGGCTGCTATTTCTTTGCGGTTATCATGATCAGGCAGGTCAAAAGTGATCATAGTATCAAACCGACTGCATAGAGAAACAATAATCAACAATTAGGATTTACATGACCGAGTCTGGTTTACAGGCCACAAATCAAATTGTCCTCAATCTCACCTGATTAATGCTGGATCAAGGTCTTGCTTTCTGTTTGTAGCACCAATGACAATCACTCTCTTATCCTGCTCAAAGCCATCAATCTGCAGAAGTTGGCTTTTCCGGTTAGTTACAAAAACATTTAAGCTAGGAATGAGTATCAATTAGTCATTGATCCTAGTGCTGTTTATGAAGTAAAAATAGCATATCCAAAAGACCAAAAGGCCTTTTCCAATAAGCTCTTTTTCTCTTCTATGCATAACAGATTAGGCTCTTTTCTAGTACGTCCAAACCTCTGAAGCACAAATACTTCACATTGCTTGACATAACCGTGTTAGAATCAGATCCAACATCGATATGCATCATGCTTCTTAGATGCATATTAGAAAAGTATTGAAAATTTTTTTCTTTAATTTTCAATATGCACCAAATACTACTTCTAAGTGATTTTTTTTTTCAAAAATTAAATTCAGTTGAAGATTACGACGTTAAAGGTCTCATTATCAGAATGGCTTCCTCTTCTAGATTGACTTTTAATCTTGGTAGAAATCAGTGAAGATGGATGGGATTAATTTAGTAGTGCTAGAATTTTGGAAGCGGACAGCTAAACTTATATTTTGATAAAGCTATCCTCTTGACAAATGACGGCTAGGGAGGGAAGAGGTTGATGCTATTCCTACTAGCAAGCGCCACCAGTAGGCAAATAGGCATTAATAGTTAATAGTAGTAAAAATATGATTACGTTTTTTTTCATCTTTAGTACTATTAAAGGACTATAAAATTATGCTTCGAGCCTAGATTTTTCAAACTGCAATTATATATTTTGTTTCGTAATTTTTTTTATAAATACATATACACATGATGGAAGTATTCTATCTTATATTTTTCAAAAATAAAAGCATTGTGAAAAAGAATAACCTGTCGCAATAAGACTGATAATATCCTGCGTGTTGCTTCATGCATTTCACCATCACGGGCAGCAGCAAAAGAATCAATCTGCATCCCCAAGAAATGCAAATGGTTAAAAGATAACAGGAGAATGAAAACTTAGGATGAAAATAAAGGTTTCACACAGGAAAGCACAAGCCACTCTCCATCCATCTGTCTATTACCTCATCCAGAAAAATAAGAGCACCCTTGGGAAGTTCATTTGCAAGAGCAAAAACTTTTCCTAGCAAGTGCTCGCTTTCACCATAGTATTTGGACATGACTACCTCCAGTGGTACATACAGCAATGGGACACCCTGCCAAGTCAAATCACAGGCCAATTTCAGTTCATTGTATATTCAAGCAGTAAGTTGAAAAATAAGCTATTCTAGCCTCAGATAATAACATGCAACTAGGACATATCCAATGTCATTGAACATTTGCCCAGCATCAAACACAAATCCCTCAAAGAGAATCTCAATGATTGCTAATTAATTGTTTTCAATCCTCAATTAAGGATGGGCAGGATATAGAAAAAGGGTTCCCAGACAAATTACAAGGCATAAGTGAGATTTTAAGAGTGGCATACCGCTTGACTAGCAATAACACGAGCGCAAGAAGTTTTCCCTGTACCTGGAGATACAAATGCCACGCAAATAAGCCTTTACATTTAGATACCAAGTATAGTTGCAGGATATACTTACAACTTGCTAAGACGAGGTTTTAATTTTTTTGGTCCCGATGCGATTTCCAAGCCAAAACATCATTCAAATGCAATCATAAAAGCCAATACTCTACTATAACAACCTGAATGTCATAGAACTGTTTGATGATGAAAATGAGAAAGAAAAAGTTTCTTGACACTGTAAGAACAGTATCAAGTATCAAAAGTGTAATGAAGACTATCATCCAAAATGAAGAATGGCCTACTCCATTACTCATGAAAAATGCTTGCCTTTAAGAACATCATTCTGCTTAAAATGCTTGCTTCTCCACAACCCAATGAGAGACTTGCTTCTCAAACAACTTAAACCCATGAGAGAAATAACTTCGGTTTGAGAATTGTTTTTAACACTTTATAGTCCCAACATAAAGCCTCAAAAAGTTCTCAAATTTGCTCCATTTCAGCCGTTAATTGTAATGCACAAGTCACTAAATAAGTTGCACACTCTAGACATACGAGGCTATAAAGATGTTTATAGAGAAGTAGATGTCTCACATCACTCAATCATACGAAAAACCAGATACTATAAGGACACACCTGGTGGGCCTTCAAAGAGCACAGCTCGTGGCCTGGTTGTCTCATACTTATGACGAGTCCGACGAGCAATATCATCATATACTTCAGGTCTTTGTAAAGCTAATAGTATTGTATCTTCTATTTCTCTACAAAATCAGGGCTTAAGGATTATAAACTTTGAAAGGAATTTCATGTATCAAACAAATGCACATCTCAGCACAATTATTAGAAGGTAGTGCCAAGATAAACACGTTACTGAAAGGATTAAGAACATAAAAGTGGCAGGATAGCATGTGGTATAAGCTGAGAGAGAGAGAGAGAGAGAGAGAGAGAGAGAGAGGAGTTCATATCTTTATTCCACCAAACACAGTATTACACGTGGGGTATTATCATTTTTATCCTATTAGCGTCTTCCAGAATCAGCTATCTCAAGTGGGTATAGTGGTATACAACTTGCTGCCAGCTAAGTACCTGACTCAAGATTACTTACTAACCCATTGACACGCATCAGCCTGTCCATCAGTTATATGGATTATATAAAAAAGTATGAGTCTTCTAACTAATATACAGCTAGGATAAAATTCAAAATGCATCATAAATCATAAATGCACACATTCTAGGAAATGAACAAGAAAACCTGTCCCAAGCACGGATTAACATATCTGAACCACCCCCATTCTCTTCAGTCTTCACGCCAAGTTGGGAAACGAGATTGGCAAGAAGATGGGAAACTTCACATGCAGGAGGAATTTGGAACTTGGTGCTGACCTACAAGACAAATGCCACCATCAAATATAATTTTACTTTCATAAGTATAAAAGATCAAAATTTAGCTTATATAAATAAGGCAGTGGGTGTTCAATGTTCTTCGCAATGCATCTAACAAACACACTGAATATCATGCTTACGAATAAGATATGGTATTGTAGGCATTTGACAAGATAAGGAGAAATCTGACACTGAGCGAGGAGGGTGGAGAATTGGAGATGGGTGTCAAATGTGTCCCAGAGAAAAATATAGAGTAAGGGGCAAGGCTGAACCAGGGAACCATGTCCTACATGATAATTTATGCATAAAGTTAACAGTTAGTAAATGAAGAAGATGCTTCATGGAATTTAAACAAGCATTGCATGGCATTTCCAAAAGGGATAAGATGGTCAACGAATGTCTCATATCTTGGAATCAGAGATGTTGTCGTCTTAAAGAATTAATGACCATTTACAGAAATATCAGCCTTCAAGGGACCAGGCCCTCATATATTACACAAAGATATCAGCCCTTATCATTTGGATACCAGTTAGAATGTCCAACGACTTGGGATGATAAATGACTAAGGAGACCATATGAAGACAGAGAAAAAGTGTAAATGATAAATGCCACAACCTTTTGACCTTTAACAGAAACAGTGAACTCAGGGTGAGAAGCAGCTGAAAGTCCTCTATTTACAAGTTTCAGCATTATTTGGGACCGTAATTTCTTGGCAATTCCTTCCAAATCCTCATGACTTGAAGGAAAGGCTGATGATGAGGAAGGTTCAGTCTTGGCAGGCTCTTTCCGACCCTCATCTGCAGACTGCAATAAAACTAACTTAGAATGAAATGATTCAAAGACTAGCATATTTGGCCTCAGTGGCGAGCCCTTCAAGGTGTGATGTTGGGGTCCTGAGTTACAAAAGCTAGAATGTGAAGAAGCAGAAGATGAGGTCAAATAATTCAAAGAAAGCATCATTCAATGAGAATAAAAAATAAAACAGTTGCGCTGGCAAAGATGCTAAAATTCGACATACCTCATTAGCATCCGCGTATGCCATTTCTAGAACTCCAACCCCAAAAATACCAGCTAACACAAGGGGAAACAACGAATACGGTTCGGCAGCATGAGGTAGACCTCTAGAACTGAAAACCTCAGACGAAAACGCAGATCCTACAAAAAATCAACAAATACTTCGCATGAAGAAAACAAATTAATCTCTATAAACTGAAAACAAAAAAACGGAAATGGCAATGTTGAAGGTATAAACAACATCTTCAAAACATGAAGACAAAATTCAACCTACAAAGCAAGTCCCTAGCCCTTTTCATTGTCCAGTGCATACAGCAAAAATTCACAGAACATAGTAAGGAAAGCAAAGGGCTACTTAAATAGTCGAGGCGAAGATTTATAAATAACAACGGATGCTAATGAGCAAGACTGAAAAAAAAAATCACTCATGATCATTCCGATACTGAAGAGCAGAGATGAACTTACTGTTAGTGGAAGGTCGGGTAATGCGGCGCGAGCAAGCAGAAGGAGTTAGGGTTTTAGGAGACGAAATTGAACGCCATAGTCGAGAAGTCCTCACTAGTCGGTCCAGAATCGCCATCCTGAAGTTCAGGAGTGAAAAGTGATCCGTTCTTTGCTATTTCGCCCCGCCCGGCGAATGCTACTGAAAACCACCCCGGCGGCGAATCGCAGCGCGTAAACGACACCTAAAGTCGGTGGGAGCGTGGGACTCAAATCCAGGCCTGGTTACTTGCCAAGCACGGAACTTGATTGCTGTTTCCCAGTTTCTCTCTGTGAGCACTTAGCTCACGTTGAATTTTTTTTTTTTTTTAAACCAGCAACTTAGCTCAAATTGATTGTTTTGAGTAGCTTATAAAATGTTTATAAGCAATCTTTTAACGGAATCTGTAAAATATAAGATTGATACGAGAAGATAGTTTTATTTCAACTTACATAAATGTATTTATTAATTGTGAATTCAAACAAATTTTAAAAATGTACTCTCAAACTTCGCCTCCTAATGTAGATTTAAAATTTTAATTTGTGATTTTTGAAGGATAAATTTATTTTTAAAAAAGTGTTAATTATAAGATTATTTTTATCCTAAATTTAATATTTATAAAAATAAAAAATATGTAAAATATAAAAAATTAAATTGAATAAATAATAACACCTTCCAAAATCAGTCAAACACCCTACTCATCAAAATAGTGAGGATGTGCTCTCACACTTTGCCTCACAGTTTTAGGAAGTTAAATCTTGTCACAAGAAATAAATCCTGTCACAAGAAAAAGGAAAATTACTAGACTAACTGGGTTTTTGAATTAAATTTTTTTAAAAATAATTTTACAATATAAAAAAATATAAAAATAATTTTGTTTCAACTTGCATGAAATTACTTTACAGGCTATTACTTTTGGTCCTAATTATAAGAGTTAATTGGCTAATTTGAGGATATTAAGGAAAGAAGTTAAGTTAGTTATTTGTAACAAATATGTGTTGTCTTTCCTAAAATATTCTTACTAATTAAGTGTATTGGCTATAACTATCATTGTTCAAAAGATTATTTGAAAGAAAATACATAAATATAAAAACAAAGTGGATTTGGGTTTTATATTTAAGACCAAAATAAAAATCAAACGGGATCTTATATTAAAGACCGGAGGTAGTAATTAAATACGCCTAAATCTTAGCAGAAATAAAGAGCTTGTCGGTTTTCTGTTTTTTGTACTCAAAACAATTTTATAAAATTATTTTTAAAAACAAGTTTTGAAAAAAAAAAAAATGTTTGGATAACTGCTTAAGAAAATTATATTCAAAACAAACATGCTCAGACCGGAAGGTGGAGTCTCGATGAGAACTCAAATTCTCAAATGAAGAAAAAGCCATCAAGTGGAGAAGAAAGAGTTTTCCAAATGAAAAATAAGAAATGCCAAATAAAAATAAAATTATTTTGGTTTTTTAGTTATTAAAATCAGATTTTTTTTAATTGAAAAACACTTGACTAAAAGTAAATAGCTAAAACAATTTTTTTTTTACTTTTTTTTAAACAAAAAAAACAAAAAGGCCAAAATAAACTCAGGGTGTCGGGCCTGATACTTGGGAACAGAAGGGACATCTTTGTTTTAGACAAAGTTATAGGTTATAGATTAGATTTTGTTATATAAACACATTAATGAATTATTGATAAATATTGGTGATTTTGATACGACATATTGATGATTAAATAGATGTTATGCTGAAATAAAGTGAAAACTGAAGAATAGGTCGATAGTGGCCATCAAATTTTAAGGAAAATATGCATAATATTTGACAGTTGTTAATAAATTCCTGTCAAATGAAAAAAACCCACTGTTTTTCCTACTTCTTAAATAATAAAATTGAAAAATTAATTAATGACTCCTTATATAACGACACAACTAAATGGAGACAATACGTACCATTTTTAGAATTAATTCCTTGAAAATGCTATTCATGTAATTTATTAATACTGCAGCAAACAAACATATAAATATCATAAAATCCCTAAAATAATTATAAAAATGTATAATAAATTGGATATATTAGTTGACTAATTTGAGTAGATTAAAAAAATTAGCTAAGTTAGTCATTTGTAATAAATAGGTATTGTCTTCCTAAAATACTTTTACTAATAAAATATTATTTGACAAAACATTTAACATGTATAATTACTATAAAGACTATTTTAAGAAAAATAAATAAAATGAGAGACAACATATATTAGAATTTATATTTATGATCAAATTAAAAGTTAAAAACTCTTTATTAAGAATTAGATTTAGTATCACTTATATAGCATACCATGTTAAGATTGTAAAGTAAAATACTTTGGAAATAAAGAATCTTTTTGACGATCCAAATCAGTCGGCCAATCTAGTAAATCAAGTCTCCACATGGAAATATAGGGGGAAAAAAACACATTAACGAAAACAGAATATATTCATTGAGAGGAAAAAATCAAATAAATAAATAAACCAAAAAGCAAAAGGAGAAATATAATGAGTCCTAAGAAAAAAATAATTACTAAAAAGTCCTAATAAAATCTAAGTAGCATGTAATGACAAGTTTTAGAGTAAAAAATAACAATTTTTAGGACTTGATTTGGAATTATTTTTTCTTTAAGATTTTATTATAATTATTCCAAAAGTAAATGCTGAACTGAAAGAGAAGCCGAATATAAACAAATGAATTGTCTTACTATTATTAATCACCTTCATAAAAATTTTATCTGCTTGGCTTCTCCAACCTTAAACCTTGCCCTATGTTGGTATGAAGAAAATGTAAGAAAAGAGAAGGGACGAAAAATTTTAAGAGATTAATTTAAAAATTAATAAAGTGGGGTTTTTAAACGAGAAAATCTACAAAAGACCTTTAAAATGTATTAAGGACAGATCCATGTGTTGAATTTGTATAAATCATATCAAAGTGGGTGAACTAATTTAGAATATTAAAATGTTGCTAATGGACACTACTATCTCTAAGTATATAAAAAAGATGATACATATCACAGAGTTGTCATTGAGAAATCAACTTTTGTTAATAGCTTTTTTTAGGTAATATCTAAAAAATTATTGTCATCCATCTTTAAGTTTTAGAACTTCAATTTAGTAAGTGTGAATTGTTAATAAAAGATATTGAACCCATTGTTCGTGGGTTCAACGATAGGAACTACACCTTTCAAGGGGATTTGATTCCATCACCACGGCACTTGGGGGCATCCTAGAATGGAGGTGCCTAACTTAATGCCTAAGAGTATAATATAAGTTCATCCTGCCCAATATTAGTATCATCTAGGAGAAGCCATTCAAGCGCCACGCCCTTAGCTTAGGTTGAGCTCGAACCCCTGCCTAAGATTTTGTCATCAGAATAAAAGTTGTTATTGAGTAATCAATTTTTGTTAATAGCTTATTCATCTTAGGCACCACTTGAAAAATTATTGTCATTCACTTTTATGTTTTAAGACTTTAATTTTATCCAATTGTAAACTATCAATAAAAGTTGTTATTAATAAATTAATTTTTGTTAATAGCATGTCACTTTAAGTAATGAAAATGGATGACAAAAATTATTTAGTATTGCCTAAAACAAATAAGTTACTATCAAAAATTGATTCCTTGATACTAACTTTTATTAATATTCACACTCAAATAAAATTAAAGTCTTAAAACATGAAACTAGATGAGAACAATTTTTTGGATATTTCCTGAAATGGATAAACTATTAACAAAAATGATTCTTCAATATTTTTATTGATTCTGGTCAAAAAACTATTTTATTGACAATTCACATTTGGGTAAAATTAAAGTTTTAGAACTTGAGAGCAGATAACAACAATTCCTCAAAATATTACTTACAATGAATAAGCTATTAACAAAAATTGATTCTTTAATAACAACTTTTATTGATAATCTATACTTGGATAAAACTAAAGTCTTAAAACATGAAAGGAAATATCAATAATTTTTTAGGTTTTGTCTAAAATGAAATAGCTATTAACAAAAAATTAATTCCTCAATAGCAATTTTTATTGACAGAGCACACTTGAGTAAAATTGATTCCTTAATAACAACTTTTATTAATAGTTCAGACTCAAATAAAATTAAAGTCTTAAAACATGAAACTAGATGAGAACAATTTTTTTTGAATATTTCCTGAAATGGATAAACTATTAACAAAAAATGATTCTTCAATATTTGTATTGATTCTGGTCAAAAAAATATTTTTATTGACAATTCACATTTGGGTAAAATTAAAGTTTAAAAATTGAGAGCGGATAACAACAATTCCTCAAATATTACTTACAATGAATAAGCTATTAACAAAAATTGATTCTTTAATAACAACTTTTATTGATAATCTTACTTGGATAAAACTAAAGTCTTAAAAACATGAAAGGAAATATCAATAATTTTTTAGGTTTTGTCTAAAATGAATAAGCTATTAACAAAAAATAATTCCTCAATAGCAATTTTTATTGACAGAGCACACTTGAGTAAAATTGAAGTTCTAAAACTTAAAAGTGGATGACAACAATTTTTTAGGTATTACCTCAAATGAATAAGCTATTAACAAAAATTGATTCATCAATAACAACTCTATCTACAATATATCCTCTTTTCTATATAACCTAGGGGTAGTACTGTCTTTTAGCAACATTTTAACATTCGAAATCGGTCCACCCACCCTGATATGGTATTATGCAAATTCATCAACCTAATTTGTCTTTTATACATTTCAAAGGTCTTTTAGTGGGATTTTTCCTTTTAAAATTTTAATAAAGAAAAGGTATAAGATAAAAGAGTAATAAAAATTAATTAAAAGCTTTTAATCTCACCTTAATTTTTCTATAATGAACCCATTAAAATTTTTCTTTCCCTTCCTTTCCTTCTTTTTCTCTCACACCAAACAAACCTTCAAAGTGAGAAAACCGTCTGAGTATCTGTGTGAAGAAACATGACGCCTATCATTAGTATTGGAACTGTAGTTTGCATCATAATCTAAAAAATTCCAAGGAAAAATTACAATAAGGTTCCAAGTAAGAAAATCAATTGAAAAACAAGTCGCAGAAATTGTCATTTTCACTATAGAACTTGTTATTATAAGTTGTTGAGGTTGTTATTGGAATCTTTTAGTAATTATTTTTTTTATAAGACTTGATTGTAATTCTCTCAAATTTCAAAAAG